ATTTAAATTAGAATCCCCAGCTCTTAAAAACCTTAATTTCTAGTGAAAACCAAGAGGCAAGTAATAGTTACCAAAATCTGGAGAGACTATTTTAGATAATTTTCAGAAAGTAATTATTCCTATAGAGTTTACCTAAAAGCTCTTATCCCATTTGCATTTAGTTCACTCATAAAAATTTCATCAAACCAAGTTATTTTTCTTGCTGACAAATTTGAAACAGATATAACAAGATTTTGTTTAACTTCTATTAAACCTAGGTGCAGTGAAAGTATTATTCATAATGTTGATGACTCTAAAGACAGGGCTATATTGATCAGATCAACAAAAAAACTAACCTTAATACCAGGTATTAACTTAATAGAGTATTTCCCCATTCACGTGAACTTGAAGCTTATTTTGTCTAGCTTTTTTAATGTTTAATTTGCGAGCACTTAAAGTCAATTAAATAGAGCTCTTTATAAATTCAATTTTGGTAATACTTTCCAAAAATAGAGATATCTCATATGTATAATGTGTACACAGATATATAAACAAACAATAGTGAGGCAGGAGATAGATGAGCCCCAGGCTGAACAGTTTCTCCCCTGTGAACAGAAACTCCATAATAGCAGAAACTCCATAATAGCAGAAACTCCATAAAAGCAGGACGATGGAGGAGGCTGGGCCCTGCCCAGATAAGAGATAAAGGACCACATTCTCAAAGTCAAGGAGACTTCCCCGACTACATGTGCAGAAAGGCTCCTTGGAGGTCAAAAAGGGAGGGGGCACCACCCCATAGTAAGTGACATCAACTACCCATAGGCTTCTTTGCTAGAATCCATTTTGGCTAAAAGATGCACATGCACACAGGGGAAGACCCTGAGATATACCAAATACAGACTTAAAACCAGGCAAAGCAAGATGACTCAAAGGAAACCCAGAAGAAATGCCCCATAAAAGTGATTCAAACTACTATGAGGGCACAACTCTTTCTCTGAGCCTGCCCATGTGCCTATCCACACGTACCGTACTCTTTTTCCTCCTAATAAACACCTTACTTGTTTCCCGTCTTTGTGGGAATTCTTTTTCTGCAGAGTGGAAGAACCAGGGCCTTGTCACTGACCTGTGATCTAATGTCTAGGATTTGGTGCTCTCACCGCTGCGACCTGACTTCAATCTCTGTCTGGGAACCGAAACCTTGCTTCAAGGCGCTTCAGGCTGAGGCCACCCGAGATCAATACTAGAGATTTCATAGCTGCACTTAAAAAAAACTCAGCTATGAATCAGGTATTACAATATAAACTTACTAGCTTACAAAGAACAGTTAGAATACATTAAAATTGTTTGCTCAGATGACTAAGGCTTTACTATTTGTTCTTGATGATCCCTTATGAAGCTTATGAATTACAGTTTGGCTGAGGGAGCATTCCCAGAAGTTTTGAGGGTTGTTTTTTTTTAATGTTTTTCTGAATCCCTTTTTTCTTCAGTTCCAAGCAACACAGATTGATTAGATAAGCTCCAGAGAGCCCAGGTAGATCATTTACATCTCAAAGGCACAGGAAGAGAAATGCGAATTCCTCTTCTAACTACTTATACAAAACCCATCCATCTTGGGCTATTTTCAGGGAACTTTCTTTTTTCCAGTTCCCAAATATCCACTTCAGTTTAAACAAATAAATAGCAGTAATATATAAATACAATAAATAATACATATCACCCGCTCACATTTATATGCCCCTCTTTCAGCAAAACCAGGAAGAGAAAAAGGGATTGGGACTCAGGTACTGAGACACTCATTCACATATACACACATACACCTGTAAGATAAAAGCAATTGCAAAAGACCTACTTTGATATAATAGCCAAGGCATTAGGACCTTTGCCCTCCAGATCTCAGGGAGTATTAAGGCATTTTCTTTCATTTAGGGAGCATAGCTAAAGATCTCTTAGTTTTGTAAAAGTACCCCAGGGGACTGTAAGATGGAACAGAGATGGATCATCCATACTTAATTATTCATAGCCGGTGTTATCAAATATCAAGCAAACAGCAATTTAAATCAGTCTTTTAGGGTCACAGTTCCCTAGCCCCAAAAAGGAAGAAAATCCCAACCAACGCTCTGCTGCAGGTGAAACAAACACAATAGGGAAGGATACCCTGGTGTCATCACACACGAGTCCCATTATTCACCAAAGGCATCTCAACTGGTCAATGCAAGTATTAACACACATACAAACAACAAACATATGGTCTCACAAACAAAGAATCAGATGAGGCATAGCCCAGATATTCCACCTCCATTCCCAGATTGAGGCTCCAGAGCAGCCTGGCTCCCAAAAAAGAATGGACCGTGAGTGGCTCACCCCAAAATGATACACACAAAAACACAAACAGCAACTAAGCTACAGTCACACAGACAGAAAATCAGTGGAGGTGTAGTCTAGAATTCCACTTCCACTCCCAAATGTAGGCCTCCTAACAAATTGGCCCAGCTCTTGAAATGAACGAGTTCCCAAATCGGGTAGAGTCTGACAATTCCCCTCTCCAACAGGGTACCCCAATCAAATGCAAAACAAGTTGGCTTGTCCCATAGAGGGAAAGCCCAAACTGAGGGGGGAAACTGTTCCCAGTTGTACACACAAGAACTACTTACCCTCCAGCAAAGTAGCTCACTTCCCACAAGAGAAACAACCCATATGGAGGGGAGAGAATTCCAAGCCTGCACAAACTTTAGTGACTTACCCAACAACACTGAATGTGGACTGCAGCTCCAGTCGTTTCTTGGCTCCAAACAGCCTCATGCCATGGGTGGCCAGCACCTGTCGGGGACCATCCCTCTGAGATCCCCAGAGCGAAATGGGCTCCGGGAGTTGCTGGGGTCTCGGAATGGGCTGCCCCAGGCTGGGGTCGACCTGCCATGGGCAAGATCTCCTGACTGACTCTCCAGGATTGTTAATGAAAGTTCATGTGCCCAATGCACAGTGAGGCCAAACAAACTGAAACTTCGGAATTTAGAGAAGAGAAAGTTTTATTGCAAGGCCCTGCAAGGAGAAGCAGTGGCTCATGCCCTAAAAAGCCCCGAGATCCCTGAAGGGGCTTCAGCAAAGCACTTTTAAAAGCCAGGTGAGGGAGGGTGGGGTTGCCAGGTATGTGATCAGCTTGTGCACAATTCTCTGATTGGTTGATGGTGAGGCAGCAGGGTGGTGTCACAGGGGTTAACATCATCAGTCCTTAGGCTCCAGCGTGGTCATCAAGTACTTAACATCTTCCATTTGTTGCGGGGGTGGGGGGGGGGGGGGGGGGGGGGGGGGGTTGGGATTGGGGGGGGGGGGGGGGGGGGGGGGGGGGGGGTATACATCTGCAAAACAACTCAGGAAATGTGCATCAAATACTGTTATCTAGGTACTTCAGAGAGGAGCTAAAGCAGAGGATATGGGGGAAGGCCTGTCCTGGGAAGGTCCTCATGGGGTCCTGCTAGGTTACAGGGTTATCATGAAGATTAAATGAGTGACTAATAAAGCTCTTAGAACAGTGCCTGGCAGATAGTAAATGCTATATGTATTTGTTAAATAAAAATTAATTAATTAATTGATCAATCCTCAACTTATAGTCTGTTAGAACTCTGCTGAAGGTTAAAAAAAAAACCTCTTAATTGCTAAATTTAATGAATTCAGTTCTTAGCTAATTTGACCTTCCAGCAACACTTGACCCAGTGGACCGTTAAGTTCCTCTTGGAATTCTCCCTTTATTTCCTGGATACCACTTTCCTGTTTTTTCCCATAACTCTGATATTTTCTGTTCAATTTCCTTTGTAATTTCCTTGGGGTTCTGTCTTTGATCCTCTTCCCTTATCGCTCTATAACTCAATAAATCTGATAGGAAAAAATTGTTCCAAATCTTTCACATAATATAAAAGTCCTCCATAATCTAATCTCTGCTGATCTCTTCAGATTCATCTTTCAGTACCTCACCACACGGAATGGCTTGCACTTTCCAAAGTGTGCTGGTAGTGATGCTTCCTCTGCCAGGAAATATCCTTCCCACCCCTAAAATTACTCCCTAATTTTTCAAGTCTTAAATGATTCTTTCCTGATACACAAGGTGGATTTTCTCCTTTGTCTCATACATATATTTTGTAGCTACCAGTATCCCCAGAGCCTAACACATTAAGGAGCTCAGTATTTGTTGTATGGACTGAATTATAGCACCTAAATTAATATTTTGCATATATTTATTGTTTTCAGGCAACTGTATATGCCTTGAGAAAAAGACTGACCTATTAATCTTTAGGACCCTGGTGCTAAGCAATGACTTAAATACAACAAATAATTAAATAATTTACAATTTTAAATCTCTTCTGCATTTATGTTGTGGTTTCTGTAACAACTTGAACAAGTTTTCAGCTCTCGAAAATTATTAATTTGATTTTTATTTCCCCTGAAGAACCAGTGACACAGGATTCCTCTAACATTTAAAAGTAGTGTATGCTGAGCAGTATTAGGCAATAAGAGCAACAATTACATTTTTCTTAAAGAATGTCATGGATGCATCTATAGGGAAGTCATGAAAAAGTATGTGGCACTGTATGTCTGTGGATGAGTCTTAACTGCTAGATTTGTGGTAGCTCTTCAAATTTGAGAGAAACAGGGAACAAGTCCATCGCGTCAAAAACATAAGGTTTTGTTCACAAGGAATGCCAACCTCAAAGAGCAGAAACGGGGTTCTTCTAAGAGCTATGAAAAGCAAGGATCAAGCCGTCACAGAAAAAAAAAAAAAGTGTCTGACTGAGCCGTCGATGCACCTGAGAAGAGACAATTTTTAGAAAGCGCGGGAAAGAAATGGGCAGGTCTTTTTTTTTCTTCTGGTGAGCCAGGTTCCTGATTGGTAGATTCCAAGCTCTACCCCCTGGGCCTTAGCGACAGAGAAGCAAAGGACTGTGATTGGCTGACAAGTTTCGCCTGCCTTAGGAAGCCGTGAGGGGGTGCCACAGTAGATCACAGTGCGGCGCTGTCTCGCTGAGGAGATGGCTTCGGTTTCCAAACTGCCTCCTGTAAAGGTGCTTACAGGCACTAACAATAGAGAAAAAATGAACATTCTAGACTTGTCTCTAGGTATGTAGATCCCGGACCCCAGCCCCCGCTAGTCAGGGCTGACTGAAGAAAGGCAGGCTGGAAGCGGTGCTGTGAGGCACACCCCCTGGGCGGGGAGGCTTCCCCTCTGTGTCAGCACCCGCCCCCATGTAGATAAAGCACCTGGCCAGCCTGCTGGCCCCTGCCCCTCCTCTCTGTTCCCATTTTCCCGCGTCAGGCCAGCCCTGACCGGACCGCCTCAGGCCAGCCCTGACCGGACCGCCTCAGGCTAGCCCTGACCGGACCGCCTCAGGCTAGCCCTGACCTCTTAGGTGGGAAACTGGCCAAAGCTGACAGAAATCACGGAGTAGGGATTGCGGGAAAGGGCCCGGTGTGGGAAATGAAAAGCCGGCTGTGTCCATATATTTTACCCTCTTAAGGAATGATAGCAAGTTACCCGCCCTTTCACAGTCCCTCACTCTTCGCAGGGCATCACAAAGGACTGGATTCCAGGGGTTGGAGGAGCAAAGCTAAGGCTAAGGCTAATTTGTGAGGAGTGGTGGTCGAGCAGCCAGACTGGGCAAAGGGATGGTTTATTTGGTTGCTTGACTGGTGCCGATTCAGCATAGACCGCCTTTCCCTTCTGCTGGTGCTGTCTAGTGTCTCACCTCAGAGCTCTACTCGCTCTCATCCACTTAAACATGGGCAGCGGGAGGGAGGGAGGACGGACTGCTTAAATGAGGCGGGGTTGGCGGTGGGTGGGGGTGGGGCAGCACAGAGCAGAGGAGGAGAAAACCTTAGCCATGGGAGGCGGGGGAAGGAGCAGCACAGCATCAGGGACTTTAGAAATGAGAGGGGGAGGAGCAGGGCAGTGAGGGCCGACTTGATATGGAGGGGAGGAGCAAAGGAGGGCCGAACTTGAAAATGGGAAGAGCAGTAAGAAGAGGTTTCACCTTAGAGATGAGGGTGGGAGAGCAGAGCAAGGACAGCGGAACTTAGAAATGGAAGGGCACGGAGCAGGGAGGGCTGATCTTACAAATGAGGAAAGAGATGAAGGACAGACTTCAGAAA